AAGTTGTTAAGGAGATAAAGATCTTTTGGCTGGTAAACAGTAGTTAAGAATTTTCTAACCACGTGGCGTTAGGATACATGTAAACTTCTCGTAAATGCTATATCTTGAGATCCTGATCAGATAGAAAGTTACTGTCTACGACAAAGTTGTTCAGGAGGTCAAGGTCTTTTGGCTTGTGGACAGTAGACACTGCCTTGCGCTAGTATACACGTGCAAACCTCATATATGCTGCAGCTCGAGATCCCGAACAACTAGAAAATTGCTGTCTTCGGCAAAGTTGTTTAGGAGATCCAAGCTTTTTTGCTGGTGAACAGTAAATAGTTCAAAATATTTTCGGTATGTGGCACTAGTGTGCAAGTAAAATATTTGTATATGCTATAGCTTAAAGTCAGGAAGTAACTGTCATCGCCAAATTTGTACATGCGGCAGAGTTCTTCCGTATGGTGAACATGCAGATGTGTTTTGTTCAAAGCTCTCTCATTTAACGTCCAATTTTTGATCTCCTTAGGCTATTTGAATGGTATGAATGGTAGAGCATAAAGGTTCTACTACTACTTCTAGTTTCATTTTTTTTTAAATCAATTCTGAGAAAATCAATCATGATTCTCCAGAGTAAATTTTGAAAAATAATGTAACTTTGGGTGAACCTTTGGTATACAAAATTTGAAAATGATATTGAGCAATTTGCCTTTTCGTATTTCCATTCAATATCGAGATCGGCTACCCGCTGCCCAAGAACCTGCCTATCCCGGGTAGAGTAAAACTGCTGGAACTCTTCAACCAGCTTTGGCAGACAGACTCGTATCCAAAGCATTGGAAGGAGAGCTTGGTTGTCCTCATCCCCAAAGCAAATGAGCCGACACGGGATGTGGGGAAGTTCCGACCCATTGCGCTCACCTGCTGCATGGCAAAGGCCTTCGAGCGGATAGTCAACCGACCGAAGCAGTTTCTCGAGTCTGGCGGTTTTCTAGACCATCGCCAACACGCATTCCGGCAAGGCCACGGTAGATCTACGTATTTTGCGACGCTAGGAGAGCTCCTCAAGGATGCCAAGGATAATGGCCTCCATACGGAGTTGGTTTTCCTGGACATTGCGAAAGCCTTCAACCGTACCGCCCGCGGTACTGAAGCAACTCGTCAGCTGGGGCCTTAGTGGCCATATCATACATTTCGTCCTAAATTTCCTGACTGGCAGATCCTTCCGAGTCTCGGTAGGTAATACCAAATCCCGCACTTTCTTTGTTCCTGGTAGCCATGAACAGTGTCTTCGAGCGGTTATCAGCGAACATCTACATTTTCGTGTACGCAGACGACGTGCTAATCGTAGCCACAGGTCAAACTCTGGGACGAACGAGGATTAGAGCCCAAGCAGGGGTTTCCGCCTTAGCCAGATGGGCCGCTTCGAAAGGTTTTCAGCTGTCTGCTTGAAAAAAGCGATTGGTGCCACGTTTGCCTGTACCGACATCGGGTCTGCGGACCTCCCATAAAGATCGGTAATCAAGCTATCCCATTGAAGAAAACTGTGGCACTGATGGGGGTTGTCATTGATCGGTCGCTGAGTTTTGTCCAGCACAGAGAAAAGCGTTTCCGTGTTGCCCAGGCCATCGTAGACAGCCGGCTGATGTATGGACTGGAGCTGACCTGCATCGCTACCGAAAAGGCAATACAAATACTCGCTCCGGTGTACAATAGCTACACCTGCATCATCTCCGGTCTCCTACCCTCGACGCCAGCCGATGCCAGCTGTGTCGAAGCCATTGCCAACAAACCAGCTGCATTTTCATCAAATACCGCCGGAAACGACAGAATCTGCCTCCTCAGCGAGGGGGACAGAGTTCTCCGTACAATCGCCAACGCAGAGCTCCCCCCAGTGGCCAAGATTCACTCGTACGGAGATAAGAGTTGGCAATCTCCCGCACCAAACATCGACAGGAGATCGGTAGCAGAGCTGACCGGATTGTACCCAAACTACATGCATCTTTACACGGACGGGTCAAGATCTAGAGCTGTAGTCGGAATGGGAATCGCTGGTGACATTTTCCCAACGAGTAGAAGTCAACCAAAAACAATGTTCGGTGTTCTCGGCAGAAGCAGCGGCTATTCTTCATGCCGTCACGGTTCCTGCGGATTGCACAATCCTGATCCTGTCGGACTCCCACAGTGTTATTCAGGCTCTTTCGTCGGAGGTCCCGGTCCACCCCTGGATCCAGGGCATCTTGAAGGTTGCGCCACCAAACACTACATACGCATGTATTCCCGGACACTGGCGTAAAACCTAGCCGGGTTAGGCCCATCGGGTCCTCGGTACTCGCACAAGGTACCGTTGCAGGACGTGAAGAGATGGATCACTTGCACAGTGCGGACAGCGTGGGCAACGGAATGGTACAGTGCCAGACTTCCGTTTATTAGAAAAATTAAAGGTGACATCGGAAAGCGGACGGACCTTGCAAACCTGCGAGATCAGAGAATTGTTTTCCAGACTCCGGACAGGACACTCCCTAATCTCACAAGATTTCAGTGGAGGACCCTTCAGGAAGACCTGTGATATTCCTTCGACGGTGGAGCACGTGTTATGCGTATGTCCACAATTTGAGCACCTTCGGGACACGCTAGCAGACGTGCCCTCAACTCAAGCAGCTGTACTGCGCTTTTTGAAGGCGGCGAAGCTATACTGCAGGATTTAGCACCATCGATTATTTCAGCCGTCCGGACATCCCCCCACTGGACGGGGCCCCCAAGGACCTCCTACAGTGGACCTATGTTTTGTTATTGGTTTTGTTTTGTTCATTTTATATTTTGTTCTTCTTTTTTGTATCCTTTTAGTCTGTCTTTTTCGTATGCTGTTTACTGTGTTATTGTACTATTATTATTATTGTACTAATTTATGTATCCACAAATCTGCATGAAAATCTTCACCAGTAAAAAATCCAGAATATATTCGTCTTATCCCACTTAGGCTGATGTAAATTGTATTTTTATTTTATGATATTTGATATGCGAGAATTGCCCGCCAAGTTTTGAAAAATTTCTGAACTACTGTTCATCAGCCAAAAAATCTTTATCTCCTTAACAGCTTTGCCAAATACAGTAAATTTCTAGCTTTTCAGGATCTCGAGATATTATATATGTGAAGATTATACGTATATCCTAGCGCCGCGTAGTAAGAAAATTCTGTGCTGTCGACCAACGTAAAAGTTTTGATCTCCTAGACAACTTTGCCCATGACAGTTTAGCAGGTCTCGAAATATATCTTTTGAGAGAGTTTGCACATGTATACAAGCGCAATGATGTGAAAAAAAATTCTGTCCGCCAGCCAAAAGGCCTTGGCTCCCTGAACAACTTTGCCGAAGACAGTAACATTTTATTTGGTCAGGATCTCGTTATATTTTATATGTGAAAATTTCACGTGTATACAAGCGCCGCTTAGGAAATTCTCAACTATTGCACACCAAGCAATAGGTTTTGACCTCCTGAACAACTTTGTCGAAGACAGAAACTTTCTATCTGGTCAGGATCTCGAAACAAACCACATGCGAGAGTTTCTAGCGCTACGTAGTGAAAAAATTTTGAACTACTGTCCACTAGCGAGACCTATATGATCAGAATCTCGAGATATTTTACATGCGAGAATTTCGCGTGTATACTAACGCCACTTAGTGTGAAAATTCTGAACTATTGTGCACTATCTTTCTATCTGGCCAGGATCTCGAGATTTTCCATGTTGTAACCAATAAAGTTAGTTAAGTCAATCCCACGTAGTGCGGACACCATTTACGGGGTTTCTCTTCATATTTTCTCTATTATCCGTATTTTTTGGGGGTTAACTGTGATAAAAGTTTAGCTTGTTTAGTTAACACAAGTTTTTAAGGAATACCCGTTGGTTTCATATCGATTGGTAGCTCAGCTGCAAAATGGCAATGTAAAACTCACACTGTTGTACAAAGTACAACGCGCGAGTACTCGTGTTACAAAAGTTGGCGCGAGTAACGGAGGGTTAAACATTACACAAAGATTGAATTCTGTGCAATCTTTGCATATCAAAAGTAAATTAAAATCAAAATATTTAATAAAATGTATTCATAGGGTTCAGAATTTCTGCGCATTTGAAATTTTGTAAAATGGATGTAATGCTGGCCTAAATGCTCCTTATTTGGGCTCATACATAAATTCAGCAATCGACTAAATTTTCTATAGCTACCAAAAATATACCAGTACCGTCCCAATGTCGCGTTCATCTAGATAAAATTGACAAATAGCAGATTTTTAGTGATGGGCCCAATCTTAGATCTATAGTCCAACATTAGAGCCATTTCCTCTATATCTAGGTTTCGTTTTTCTTGTCGTCTGAAAATGCAACCCCTAAAATTTCCCCAGCAGCAGTAAAACACTGCACTCAAATGAAAAATAATCATAGTAAATGCAGCTTCTGTACCAAATCGTGCCAATCATGAATTTATTGAAATTTTCTCAAAATTATGACTCAATCCTCCACCTCTCCACCGTTCACCCAAGATACGCACGGAATTAATTTGATCCAAACGGACACATACTGCAGTAGTTCATTTGTCCAATCAGTAACCTTACACAAGCGAAGCAAATAAAAGGAAATCAAACAACACAGCCCGGACCCAATGATATGCCGTAGAACAAAAATCAACAACAAGAGCCCTCAGAGCAGAGCCAGGGAGATATCAAAATTTCCAACGGATCCATCCCAGCTTGCCAGCCAGCAGCCACCGAGAGGAAGTAGCCTTCATAAATATTCAAAAGGAACAATTTCTTTCGATTCTTGTTTTCCGTCTCAATTTCCACATGTTTAGGCTTTCGAGCAGCGGTCCTCAATCTGTTGCTAATGACGGTCCCTTTTGAGAATATTGCGATCCACGTGGACTCATGCAATGTTGGAAAAATAGGCCCATTATAAGTTGTTGTTACTTGAACAACTTATAAAAAATTGAAATAAAAAAAACAATGATGAATTCACTGAATAGTGTTTCAACATTGCAAATTCATTAAAACAGCTCAAAAAACGTTTGAGCCTTCCTGGGCTCGGAGGGTTGCGACCAGGAGATTGAGAATCGCTGCTTTTGCGTTTCGGCTTTTATTTTCCAAATCCGCTTGGATTTTTCATCTTTCATTACCGTCCTTGCATCGTCTGAATACAAATAAGTCTATGATGAATTTTTATCTACCGCTCGTTCGGTATGTTTCTACAGATACATGCTACTATTCTAATACCATCCTGGGTGTGCTGGTCCTTCGCACTAGAACACTCAACGATTTGTTCACTTTTACCGAGTGAGTTCATCCTTGCCACATTCACACAATTCCTGATTCCCAAAAAAAAAAACACACGCATAAGCTTTGGGCATGCGGTGACAAGACCCGAGCCCCGGTAGCCACTTTCACCTAGTCAAACAAACATACATGCAAGCACAATCAAACTGTTTTTTCCTTCTCCGTCTCCAATCCCCACTCCGGGAGGGTGCCATCGCCTCAAATTGGATTCGAACATTGATTGCAGTCTTCCATGTCTGCCTGGAACTCCTCGATTTGCAGTGTGGTTTCGAAGAAATCATACTTTGCATGAACGGTACGTGTTGCCTGCTGGAGCACTGTTTCCGTGTTGGTGTTTGGCACTGGTGGAAAAAAGGAAGAAGAAGAAGAATTTAAAATGACGATAGAAGTCAAGGGGGGGGGGGGATGCTTCCACCAATCGTTCATCGAAGGAGGAGCAAGGCTGGGAAAATGAAATTATTTTACATTGGATTAAGCTCTGATGAAACCGCTCCTGCTCAAAATGTGCTCCGTTTGCTTTTTTTTTGGTAGTTGAGGCTGTGATGAAGCTTATTTTGAGCAGAAATAGATTCATAGAAATAACTGAGAGATGTTTGTTTTAATGAAAGTGAACAAATCAAGACCAACAATTGAAATGGCCTTAACTCCATTTTGTAAACAAACCTTGTAAGACCATTTACTCGCGAACCGAAACCTTCATTCGCAAACCTAAACCACAATCGGGTAGAGGAGAATTTCATCTACCTGCTCATTATGTTGGTTTGCCTTTGCGGGCTTCGGTTCGCGAGAAAATGGCCATACAAGGTTTGTTTACAAAATGGAGTTAAGGCCATTTCAATTGTTGGTCTTGAAATGTGGTTTTTAAAGCTTAAAAACGATTTGTTGTACACATCTAAATCACTTCCCCCAACCGGAAAATGTGCTGCTCGTTAGACTCGCATTCCTTTCGAATCGGGCTCGCAGGCAGCGATTTGTGCGCTTGTGGTAGTGGTTATGACGAGATCGACCACGTGCTTTGGTCACCCTACATTGTGTTGCTAGTTCCGAGTTATCCACATAACTCAGGGCCCGAGCAAAATAACCTTTGGGGCCCGTTAGAGACATCTTGGCGAGCCGAGATCTCGATTATTTTAATTTAATTCATGTGTTTTTAAAATGGGTCTATCTTCTCTCAAGCTGCTAGGTCCCCATCGATGTACCCCCATGTTCGTCTTTTTCTCCAGTATGTCGCTTAGTTCTAGATCGGGGGAGAGGTAGCTCATCGATTCTTCCGGTTCGCCTCCTAGCATCGTGCTATAAGGTACCAGGCGATAACCAGGGTAGTTGATCGATAGCTCGATGACGTCATTTCGTTGACGTCTGCAATGGGAAATTCTCATAGCAGGTGTTGACGATGGGACGTTGTCGAGTTGTTGAATAGCACCGATTACCTGTCGATCTGCCAAATTTGGAAAGACGTCTGCATTGAATTGTCTCATATAATAATATTCCGCCCACTATATCACAAAAAATTGCGAGTAGCTGAGTGGAATGGAGATAAGTTAAGCATTGGCTACAGGACCAAGTCTTCCCTGGGTGGTGCCAAAAGATGAGCGCAATAGAATCATCAAGTTGCCATAAGGCACGGAATGAGACTATTGCATGGCTGGGTAGTCAAAGTATTCTATTCGTTAGTCATTTCAGGTGGATTAGAACAGGTTTAGGTGGGCGTTGGCCAGATTTGGATTTTTCAGATGTAATCCTGGATAGGACCCTGTCATTGAACGTCGCGTGAAAGTGGAACTTAATGAAGGCCTAAGTACTTTTTCGTAGTTTTTAGTTTTCGGATTTGAAAGATCGTCGGTTACAGTGGCCTGCTTACTGAGCAGAAAAACGCGGTCCCAGGTCCTTACATATCAAAGAGATTTATGGTAAAATCGCTTGTGTATCGTGTATATTGCGAAACTCGTTGTTGTCGTTGGTTCCGGGTTTGAATGGATACACAAATTTGAGCAACGGTATTATGTGATATGAGGGGCTCGGTGTTGTCTGCCTAGTGGCAAACGTTTTTGCTTACTGAGCAGAAGACCGTGGGTTCAATCCCAAGCTCCTTCGCGTTATATGATCGTTAGGACATCAATTCAGCTTATCGTTTACCAAAACGAACCCTGCTGCAAACCCAACCCTCTTATCCAACATCCCAGTGATTCCTCGTGGAAGTGCAGAGGTGTTCTCGGCTTCCATCAAAGCGAGTGTCATGTCAACACAATCCTTCCCATTCCTTTCTTGACCTGTGCTCGGGCGCGGCCGGCGCTGGTATTGCTTAATTTAAGATCACCAGTTTTTACACATTGAGGATGATTGCTAGTCCCAAGCATCGTCTATTGGTTCTCTGTGTAATTACAGCTGATCTGGCAGTAACAGAGTGATTGTACGACTTTTCCCCGAAAACCAGTCCCCCGAAAACACTTTCCCCGAAAGTTATTGCCCCGAATGTAACTTTTCCCCGAAATACAATTCCCCGAATGGCACAGTTCCCAGAAAATAATTTCCCCGAATGTACCATTTCCCCGAATCTGCGCATCTTCGCTGGTTAACTACTTATATCGAACAACACCACAATAAACATATTAATGTGCGTCGAATAAAGACAATAGTTTGACTTTCGTTAAAACAAAATGTAAAGGTCAAGCTCCTGAAATCGGTGTAATCCTATTTCAGCAGCTTTTGACCTTTCCATGTAGTTTTAACGAAAGTCAAACTTTTGTCTTTATTCAACACATATTGATTTCTTCGTGCTCCATACAATTTTAGATTCACCCTATAAGGAGTCGCCATGTGACTAATATGTAAGGCATGGGGACGCATGATATCTTTTCTTTGTTTGTATGGAGTTTTTTTTAACGGTCGTACCTATCAAACAAACACACACATTGTATGCAATTAGCTCCATGGATCATACCATATTATACGCCAAAGAATGAACTATGATTCAAAGAAGGAAAATTTCTTGCGACAAGCAAAATTTTCCCTTCTTCGTATCACAGCTCGTTCTTTAACGTTTTGAAGAATAAATATCTTACTAATTTATCAAAGCGATATCTCATTGTAATAAAATTGAAGAACGAGCCGTGATACAAAGAAAGGAAAATGATATCTCTTTGATAAAACCAATTAGATACCCTAATAAAAAATTACCATAAGCGAACGATAACCCAAATGTGTGAACTATTCCACAAATGGTTTGGATGATACCCAGAACCAAGGTATCAAAAATATCTCTAAATGACAAAATGACAAGCGATCAACGAACCGCATAATAACGCTATGTCAGAAGTGGAAAGCAATAATGATATAACCTTCTTCGTTCTTTTTCATGACAAGCAGCCCGTGCGACACAGCTCACTCGGGGCGGTAGAAGGAAACGAGCAAATTGTTGGCAAGCTGCTTCACGAAGTAAAGCCGAAGATGATACACGTGTGGTAATGGGAATTTTTGTGTTATGTCTTTTCTCGATTCAGATCAAGCTATTTCCTCATCCGTGTATATTGCAACAAAGCAGGCAAGCAATATATCATTATCCTTCTACCACTCGGATCGAGCTATGTTACAGAGCGAGTTTGTCATGGTAGTCGTAGCAACCGTTTTGTCTGTATCGTTGGTTGCTTTATGTTTTTGGATTCGCTGCCCAGAACACGTCGTTAAGCAAATTAACCATAACATTTTTATTAGGGTAGATATTATGCGATACGTTAAGAAACGAGCTGTGCTACAAAGAAGGAACATTTCTTGAAACAAACAACGATTTTTCTTCTTTGTATAAGAGGTGATGTACAAATTATGTCACGCCCTAAGGAGGGACGTGTAGAAATATGTGATTGATTAATTTTTCCTCAATTTCGCGTGACATAATTAATGTATGGCCCCTAACGGCTCGTTTTTTTTTAATTTGATTACGATTAGATATCAGTTTTATAAATTAGTAAGATATTTATTCTTCAAAACGTTAAAGAACGAGCTGTGATGCAAAGAAGGGAAAATTTTGTTTGTTGCAAGAATTTTTCCTTCTTTTTATTTTAGTTGATTATTTGACGTATAACTTGGTATGTTCCATGGAGCTAATTGCATACAATGTATGTGTGTGTGTGTTGGATAGGTACGAACGTTAAAAAACTCCATACTAATAAATAAAAGATACCATGCGTCCGCATGCAATACATGCTATGGTCACTTTGCGACTCCTTATAGGCCGAATCCAAAATTGTATGGAGCAAGAAGAAAACACCATACACCGATTTCAGAATATTCGGTAAAAAATTACAGGAAATCTGTGAAAAATCACCGAACTGTTTACCGAACGTTCAGCTGTTGAGATTTCGGTAAAATTTCACAGATTTCGGTAAAATAATCTTAGTGGATTTACATGTAGTTTTAACGAAAGTCAAACTATTGTCTTAAGCGAACCCCACACGGTAAGAAATATTGTCAATACTTAAAAGTATTGACAATAATATTGATGATGTGAATACAGATATATTGTCAATACCGATGTATTGACGTCAATATAAAATGCATTGACTATACGATTATTGTCAATACAAACAGTCGTGTAGAGTCCACTTTAATTCGGCACACATTGATATGTGTATTGTGGTATTGTTCGATACAAGTAGTTAACCAGCGAAAGATTTGATGAAACTGACACAATTTTCCCTTCTTTATATCAAAGCTCAGTCTTTATGCTCATTAAAGAGCCTGAATTTATAAAGAGACGACATCTTATCCATTTGACAGGTCTTCTGCTCGATTGGAATGACTTTTCCTATGACTTTGACAGACAATCGATTGTTCCAATTTTGACATATCGCCTCTTTATAAATTTAGGCTCTTTAATGCTCATTACAATCAGATATCAATTTGATAAACCGCCAAATGTCATAACAAGTCATAACCACAAACTTTATCTAGGGTGTTGAACGACTTTGTTCTGTTTATCAATATTCAGCAAAGATATTTTTCTCAATTTCATATAGATAAGTAGTAACAAACCCAAGGATCATATTTAAATAGATCGCACAGATTTTGTGACAAGCAATGCATTAGGTAAAGGAAAAACGTCACGATAGGGGGGGGGGGGTAAATTTCTCCTCGATTTAGCGTGACATAATTAATGCATGGGTCCTCAGCACTTTAAAGTGTTCACCCTGAAGAATTTCTACTTTGTCTGACTCTTATTCCTCATCGATCCTTGTTTGGACCCTACCCGAGGTAATCCTGCTTGGCCATCGACTTGGAAAATTCCTCTTCGATCCTTCGGATTCTTATATGGAATATATTATACACTTGGAAGTCGATTTGGAGA